CACATACACAGAGCATAGGTACATACACATACACAGAGCATAGGTACATACACATACACAGAGCATAGGCACATACATACACAGTGCATAGGTACATACACATACACAGAGCATAGGTACATACACATACACAGAGCATAGGTAGGTACATACACAGAGCATAGGCACATACATACACAGTGCATAGGTACATACACATACACAGAGCATAGGTACATACATACACAGTGCATAGGTACATACACATACACAGAGCATAGGNACACCTGTGGCATAGGTACATACACATACACATGAGCATAGGTACATATCATAACATCAGTGCATAGGTACATACACAATACACAGAGCATAGTAGGTAATAACACATACACAGACATCAGGTACATACACATACACAGAGCATAGGTAGCATACATCATACACAGAAGATAGGTTAGGTACATTACACAAGAGCAAGGCACATACATACATCAAGATTAGGTACATACAGCATACACCAAGCAAATAGGCACAACATACACAGTGCATAGGTACATACACAACACAGAGCATAGGTAGGATACACAATACATCAGAGCCAATGAGGTAGATACACATATCACAGAGCAATAGCGTAACAGTACACATATACACAGAGCATACGGCAGCATACAGTACAACAGTGCATAGTACATACACATACACAGAGCAAGTACATACACATACACAGAGGCTATAAGCACAATACATACACAGTGCATAGGTACAAAAATTACACATACACAGAAAGCATAGGTACATACACATACATCAGAGCGATAGGCTACATACACAGTACACAGTGGCATATGGTACATACACATTACACAGTGCATAGTACATACACCATACAACAGTGCATAGGTACATACACATACAGCCAGTGCATAGGGTACATACACATACACAGTGCATAGGTACCTACACACTACAACAGAGCATAGGTAGAATACATACACATACACAGAGTATAGGCACATACAGCATACACAGAGTAATAGTACATACACATACCACAGGAGCATAGGTACATACACATACACAGAGCATAAGTACATATCACATACACAAAGAGTATAGGTACAATTACACATAACACAGAGCATAGTACATACACATACACAGAGCATAGGTAGGTACATACACGATACACAGAGCATAGGTAGGTAGCAGTACACATACACAGAGCATAGGTAGTACATACACAGAGCATAAAGCAGGTATCATACATAGAGCATAGGTACGTACATTACCCAAAGCATAAGTAGGTACATCACACACACAGAGCATAGGTAGATACATACACATATTACACAGAGCATAGGTAGCAATACACATACACAAGAGCATGAGGTAGGTAGCATACACATACGAGCAGAGCATAGGTACATACACATATCATTACATACACAGAGCATAGGCACATACATACACAGAGCATAGGTACATACACATACACAGAGCATAGGCACATACATACACAGTGCATAGGTACATACACATACACAGAGCATAGGTACAAATAGGTACATACACATAGCATAGGTACATACACATACACAGTGCATAGGTAGGCACATACCTCGGGGTTCAGCAGGTGGGTGTGCACTACGGCGCGCTTAATGTCGTACAGGTCCGTGTAGTGCTCTAGCGCCCTCTGGAGGAGCCCGGCCTTCTCACACAGCTGTGCGACGTGTGCGCGGTCGTAGTGCGTGAACATCTGATTGCCCAGGATGGCGTCGGCCACCTAGAAACAATGGAACAGCTGTTTCAGAGGCTACGGGGGGAGAGGTTCGCTGGACCAGCTTTACGTGTTTACGTTTTACATCGTTAACGAATGATCCCCATGTTATTAATATACGTTATTGGGTTTCTTACACATAAAGAGGCGCAGTAAGCGCACCACCATTGTCAAATTTAACATCGCCGTTGTGAAAATGTTCCTGGATTTACCCGCAGTCGTCAAAATAGTGTCAACTCAAAAATAAATAGATCACCACGAGCTTCTAGCATATTTAGATTGCCTTTACGGTTGCCTTTATTGCCCTTAAGGCATGCTATCATGCGCTTTTTTTCCCAAACTGGCCATTACCTCCTTTGTCTAATTTTACCTCAGAAGAAACCTTGTGTTATATAATGTGAGTATTAATAATTTTAATTAATATACATGATGAATAATAACGTAGCATAATACGTATTCATGTACATTACATAATTATAATTACAATTATAATATGTTAAACAACGACATTTTGAGGTATGACAAGTGGCTCTACCTGGGGAGCCGACATGAGATTCATCTCGAGCAGGCGCGTCTGCAGGGCGCCCTCTGCTGGCCGATTGTTTTTCAGCGCGTCGAGTAGGAACGACGTGCACTGCTGGATGAGATTCGACTCCATGAAGACGTCCACCACCTAGTGCGACGACAACGGACACGCATTAGTGGTGCCACCTAACGATGACCTAACCGGGCGACGACATGAACGATGATGGTCACACAACAACGTTGCACGTAAAATGATCAACACAAGAGCAGTCTTCACTTCTCCACCAACAGTTTGACGTGTACACGGCGATTCACAAACAGGCCACCGATGCAAACACAAGAACAGTAATTTAAAACACAAGAACAGTCGTTGTGTGTGATAACAGGAAGCTTCGCACTGCTTCAATGTGAAATCTTTACGGAGAAGCCTGACTTGTCAGATGTGTTTTTTTCGTACGGCGTTAATCGAGAATTTTCATTACAGGTTTCGTTAAATCGCCACGATTGTTTTCGCATTGGTCACACGAGCGGGCAAAGCTCACAACGCATGATTCAGCGAGCGTTGTCAACACACGCTCCCTCGCTTCTTGCAACACACAACATGACTTGACATAGGGTTCAATCAACACAGTAAACATCTGTTGACCAATATTTGCAGCATTTGTTGAATGTTATTTGCCAACATTGGGTAACAAATATTGGCAACAGTTGTTACACAATAATGTACACAAAAGTCAACAGACGTTAGCAAAATTTGCCTCAGCTTCGCGACCAACCGTGCGCGTCGCAAGGCTTGAGCAACGCGTTGCCGTGGGCAAACGCGCGCGTCGCGGGGCTTCAGGGACGCGTTGCCGCGGGCAACCGCGCGCATCGCGGGGCTTCAGGGACGCGTTGCCGCGGGCAACCGCGCGCATCGCGGGGCTTGAGGGATGCGTTGCCGCGGGCAACCGCGCGCATCGCGGGGCTTCAGGGCGGTCGCCCGCGGCAACGCGTCGCACATCGCGGGGCTTCAGGGATGCGTTGCCGCGGGCGACCGCGCACATCGCGGGGCTTCAAGGACGCGTTGCCACGGGCGACCGCGCACATCGCGGGGCTTCAGGGATGCGTTGCCGCGGGCAACCGCGCGCATCGCGGGGCTTCAGGGATGCGTTGCCGCGAGCGACCGCGCACATCGCGGGGCTTCAGGGATGCGTTGCCGCGAGCGACCGCGCGCGTACCTGCTGTATGTCGGCTAGCGGCTCGTCGTCAGCGACCAGCATCTGAGCGAACTGCAGACCCTGGTCGGGGCTGACCCTCATCACGCTGCGCAGCAGGAAGATGTAGTCCGGTGTGAAGCCAACCTTCTTCGCGTAGAGGATGATCTTGTTGAACTGTCCCGTCTCCGCAAAGCACTGGATCACCTGCGAGGTGACAACGTGCACGCGACTCGTTTACGTAACCCTCATTAACGACATGCACGCGACTCGTTATCGTAATCCTCATTAACAGTAATCGACACGACAGTGGCTGACTGTGTGGGGGAGGGGAACTCATAGATTTACTGGAGCCGTGGAGCGAGAAAATCATTAGGGACCCGTTTTATTAACGTGATTAACCGTCGTAATATGATTTTTGAAGCACTGGATCACTTATAAGGTGCGACATTTGCATCTCGTTAACCTGTCTGTCGTGGTACAGACACCTGGCTAACAGCAGTGAGGGACGATAGGCAAACAGGGCCAAAAGTAGGTTACTGGGGCGGCGGGGCGGCGGGGCGGCGGGGCGGCGGGGCCCAGTGTGAGAAATAACGACCTCTTTTTTTTACCAATTTAATTCAGCTCTGAAATAATTTTTTTGCAGCTCAATATTGCACAGTAACACTAACAGAGAAAGGTGTAAATTCACATGAAGAAGGGCCTTTACTTTCTCAGGGGTTCGTACATGCAAACACACGAATGACACGCACGAGCGTCCAGCTGTCCCAATATTTGCTGGAGCCAAGAAATGTGGAAGGACTGTGCACACGCACTGTTTGCATTGCCTTAATTAAGTTGATTAGATCGAGAGTTGTGGATTCAGATAGCATGACTTGATGACGTCACACTCTACACAATATACCCGATATTAGGGCACGACGATGTTTCCATAGTACAGCAACAAACGTCTAACTATTTCAGGTGGCCCAACATCCAACATGGCTACATCAGTAGGTGCTGTCACCTGGTGTCAAACCCCAAATGATAGAATGCAGTTAGAATCGCTGTGAAATTTAATCGCAAGCCTTTGCCCCGTAATAAATATGTAGGAAGCGGTGAGAGAAACGAAGCTTGCAGCAGCAGCGGCGAGCGATCGCGATTCCCACCGGTGTCCGATCACTGTCGTCCGCAAGCGAAACTCTGGAGGCTACGCAGAAATTCCTCCAGAGCATTAGAGCGGATGGTGGTGCCCCCTACTTGGCGATGTTTTTTATACCCATGTTCTGCTGTTTACATAGTACAGCGAGAAACGTGTAACTATTTCAGGTGGTCCAACATCCAACATGGCTACATCAACTGCTGTCACCTGGTGTCAAACCCCACAAGATAAAATGCAGTCAGAATTGCCGTGAAATGTCACTGCAAGCCTTTTCCCCGTAATAAATACCAGTGATTATAGCTCTTGACTTGCGTGACTGCACGCACGCACGCACGCACGCACGCATGCACACACACCCACACACACGCACACAACTACGCACATACGAGCAGGGAGCATACCTTGTTAGGAACATTAGCTCGCAGGTAGACGGACAGTGCCAGTGTTGGGTCGACAGCCTTCACCAGATCTCCCAGTTCCTCGCTCGACTCCAACTACGGAATAGACAGAGCGAGAAATGACACACGGCAGGACAGCCGTCACCCTGACCTCCCGATGACACACGCACCCACGCACGCACGCACGCACGCACGCACGCACGCACGCACGCACACGCATGCATGCACACACAAATACAAGTAGGTCACCCATCTTCATAACAGGGGGTAACGTAATAACGCACAACAGAAAATAAGTAAGATGATGCGTTTTACTCCTGCTCATACCCATCTACCCGTCCCAACCCCCACCCCACCTGGAGGAGGTCCACATGCCCACTGCGGAAAACTGTCGCACTAAGAACGGCTGCTTTTCCATGATACATGCATACCGGCTGGGTAAGTGGACGGGCCAGCCCGCGGGGGGGGGGGGGGGGAATCCTTCCATCACACGCAGACTGGGGGCTGCTGCTTCCCTCCTATCACGCACAGCCCAGGGTGGGGGAAGGGGGGGATCCTCCCATCACGCGCAGACTGGGGGCTGCCCGGGGGGGGGGGGGAGATGCTGTTCTCTTTCGTCGGTCGCTGCGAGTGACCGCCGCGTAAATGCATTAAGTCGCCGCGAATGGAGATCAACTTTCGGCAACGCTGCTCCGAATCCGCGATTCCTTCCGCGATTGCAGATTTTGCCGGGAAAGCTTGCGAGCGGTCGCATTACAGATTAGCAGAGTGGCATTGCTAACTAGAATGGTGGCCTATTAGAATACAAGAGTGGCCTAGCAAGCTAGAAGTACCTACACAAAATAGAAGAGTGGCGTAGTAAGCTACAATATTGGTCTAACAGACTAGAAAAGAGGCATAGCAAGCTAGAATATTGGTCTAACAGACCACAAGAGAGAGAGAGGCCTAGCGAGCCAGAATAGTGGCTTCACATATTAGGAGAGCGAGCACCACGACCTGAATAGGCACTTACGCGAATATGATTACGGCATTCAGCGAGCGAGTTTGTAAGAAGCGTGAAGTGTGTGAGAGTGAAGCACCTGTCACCACCACACGCTCACATCTCTCACCTCTTCACCATGACTGTCGTACGCTAACGATGTAAGGAGACTCATAATCGGCTAGCGCGTTAACGTGTTGCTGTGCAGCATCTGTAGAGAGCTGCTATAGTGGATGATCGTTGCCACTATAAGGGGTAAAGCTAGGTGACTGTAGGATGCGGTGAGAGTACGTCGCCCGCAGCAGCAGCAGCAGCGGCGAGCGATCGCGATTCCCACTGGCGTCCGATCACTGTCGTCCGCAAGCGAAACTCTGGAGGCTACGCAGAAATTCCTCCAGAGCATTAGAGCGGACGGTGGCTCCCATGGAATAACTACCATTACTACTACTATTATTACTACCATGGAATAACTAAAGTGTATGGCAGATATTATTAAAAAAAGGCCTAGGTCATCACTAAAGGGCATGGCTTAACTGGGATGGCTTCCAAGGGTACACGTACATTCAACGATTATATATACATGCATGTAGATTCTTAAATATACGGCAGAGATTCACGCGAATGATAAGATTAAAGGCGCTGACATTTCTGCATTTCACGAAAAGCCGGCGCTAGCTGTTAACCGGTGCAGACAGGCGACAATGAGTAGAGTGTGAGCTCTCCTGTGTCTGCTCTCCCGTGTCTGCGATGATGAAGGAATGCCAGTTTTCAACAAACGTTCATCTATGATTCCCGCGCAGGATTACGCGACGGCCGCACGCCGCTGTCGCTCAAATATTCATGCCGGCATTAAGCACTCAGCGCCGAAGACAAGCTTACATTTATATTTACTTAAAAGACACGCGAGTCACAGCAGCAAAGCTACTTACAGCATGCATCCACTCTACGGATATCACTCCAGCTCCACTCACCAACCACACACAACCAACTCACAACACCATAGCACACATCCACACACAACCCCCTCACAACACCATAGCACACATTCACACACAACCCCCTCACAGTTGTGTGGATGTGTGCTATGGTCCCCCTGCCTCTTCGACCGTCCATACATCACCCCATCACTTCTTTCCATGAGCCACTTCTCGCGTGCACGTCTGATGCAGCAACCACCCTCCCTCCTCCCTTCTACCACCCTCCCTCCTCCTCTGTCCCTCCTCCCTTCTACCACTCTCCCTCCTCCTCTCATCCACACGTACCTTGTCTTCCTTCAGCCACTTCTCGAGCAGCTGCTTGCGACCCTGCTGCAGTACGGGCCTGCACAGCTCCAGCGACTCATACTTGTTCAGCTGGCCCTGGTCCAGCAGGATGCCAAAGTACTGCAGCTGTGGCGACGTCTGGCCGGGCTGCGCAGGCACCTGCTGGAACTTCTGGATCGTTTGCGGAGTCCTCAGGATGCCCTGCGATGATCAGAGAGAGAGAGAGAGAGAAAGAGAGAGGATGTATAAACGCGGAAAGCCACGACCATAGATTGATTATCGCGGTATCATGGTGCTAACAGAAATCACACGAGGGAGAGAGGAAGAGGTAAAGAGAGAGAGGGGGAGATGGGGAGAGAGTGGGGGAGGAAAGAGAGAGGGAGGGACAGAGAAGAAACAGAGAGAGAGAAAGAGAGAGAGAGAGAGAGAGAGAGAGAGAGAGAGAGAGAGAGAGAGAGAGAGAGAGAGAGAGAGAGAG